GTGTACATCTAAAGTCGGGGTGTTCGTTTGAGTTAGAGATATTTCTAAATATTTCAAAAATCGGTAGGCATTAATTTATTGACATCGACGTGAATCTACTTAGGGTAAGAACTCTTCTTGCTAGCTTTTGCATCTCTTTTTCTAAAGTCGGTGCCTTTATATCTAAGATGGCTTGAAATTTTTCAAAGTTTACCTTTATCTCCTTTTGATTAATCATGTAGTTGAAAACTTTCCTAATGTGACACAAAAGGCACATTTACTTACGTTTAGCCTCATGTTGTACTTTTTAAGTGTATTAAAGGTCTCTTCTAGATCCTTCAGGTCTCGATCGAGTTTTTATTCTTAGCAATCATGTCTTTAACATATACTTTGACATTACAATTGATTTAGTCCTTAAAAACTTTATTGACCAATTTTTGATAAGTTGCCCTTATATTTTCAGGCCAAATGTCATCATCTTGTAACAAACAAGCCATTCTCAATCACAAAGGTTATTTTTCTCATTTTCTTTAACATTTTGATCTAATTGTAGCTCAAATATGCATTTAAAAAACTGAGCAGGCTTTATCTAACGTTGTCATTTACTAATCGATCTATGTTCGATAAAAAAAACTTGCCTTTAGGCAAGCTTTATTGAGGATGATTAAGTTGACACACATTCTCCATTTTTCACTGTGCTTTTTCATTTGAATGATGTTGACAATCCATTTTTGATAGTATGCTTTCCTAATAAAGCCAACTTTTAGTAGCTTATTAACTTCTTACTTAATAGCCTTTTGCTTTTTGAGGTTTTTTTTTTTGCCAAACTAGTTTTATATTCAGGTTAGTATGCAACTTGTGAACCATCACCATGGGATAAATCTTTGGTATATCTAATAGGATCCTTGCAAGCAGGTCAGCATTATTGCTTAATAGTTGTGCCAATTGTTCTTTATGGTCGAGCTTGGCCACTATTTACATACATTTGTCAATATTATTTTTGAAGAATGACACAAGTACAAGGTCTTCTACTAGTTCTGGTCAACTAATATCAATTTTGGGCTTTGGTTGATAATTTCTTTTTATTCTTTTAGGTCAAGACTATTTCATGTGCAAGTAAAATGAATCCCAACGTAAGTATTAATGATTTATTCATTAGTTTGATAGCATAATGTATTCATATGGAGGTGAGCTAAACAATTCAATAAGTATGATTGTATTTACAAGACTGGCTTAAGAACTCAGTTTAGAAAAAATGACATATGTGTCAGCTTAAGAGCACAGCCTCAAAAAATCTTTAAAAAATCTTTCAAAAGATATTTATAATTGACAAGCTTTAAAGCTCAGTATTGGCTCTTAAGAAAGCATTTCTTTTTTCTCTTTGGTTTGGTTGGTTTTCTTACCTTAGTTATTCTCTTCTAATTCTTTAATTTTCTTGATCCTGACCCTTGGTTCTTCTTTGTCATAAGACTCATCGACCTTTAGTTTGGTTGGTTTTTTTACTTTGGTTATTTTCTTTTAATTCTTCAATTTTCTTGATCTTAACCCTTGGTTCTTTTTTATCGTAAGACTCATTGGCCTTGGCTGAGCTGTCACTTTGCTTTTTAGTTTTACCTTTCATGGTCGTGACATAACATTATCGTACAGTGTACTGATATCCTTAAACCTCTCCAACCTTGTTAAGAGTAGGAAACTTGATCTTGAAATTAGAAGTTGAGCTGATGATTCTCATAATTACTAACTAGGTCAGCCTAATACCATATTGTAAGTTAAGGGTACATCCCTCACTATAAACTTTATGACTAAGGTGATGCTCTTTAGTTTAGTGCCTAATGTGATTGGCAGTTTAATTGTTCCTTTAACTAGCACTTGCTCATTCCTAAAATTGATTGATGTTATGGTAAATAGTTTCAGCATATCCTTATTATGCTTATTCTCTACATGCTTGAGTAATACAGAACGCCAATCGGACTCCCATTATCAAATAAGATCCTCCTCACCATATGATTATGGACCACGACCTAGATGATGATTGCATCATCATTAAGAACTGGATCCCTTCCAAATCCTTTAAGCTTAAAAAAATCAACTCGTCTTTTGAACTTTTTTGCTTTTTGGCTGATGACCCAATGGCCATGATTATCCCTTGGTTAAATTTTTCTTGGCTAATGTCAAAGTCCCTATAGTTGATCTTGTTTATTATTCTTATGATAGATCTATTATCTATATCATTTCCTTCTTTTTCCCCTACTCAGCCCTTAGATATCATCACTTGATTACCTTTTCTTCCTCTGACTTCTTTAATTCTCTTTGTCCATTATTCCTAATTTTTATTATAAATTCCTTTCTCCTTTGTCCCTACTTTTTTCAGTCAATAAACTTGTTTAGATGATTTTTTTTATTAGATGATTTATTTCATTCATCAGGTCAATATAATACTCAGTATTATGGTTGAAGTCTTTATGGAAAGTGCATATTTTTGTTGGATCTTTTCTATTATTTTTCCTTAATGGCTTAGGCCATCTGAGCTCAAAGTCCTTTTCAATTTGCATCAAAAACCTCTTGCGAGAGATATTCAATGTATTGTAGTAATGATGTCGTCGACTTGGATTTCTAGCCCTAGAGTATCTTTTTGATTTTTTTTCTTTTTGGGAGATTGTAGATTTTTTTTTCTTTTCATTAGCTGAGGAGGGGGGATGAGCCCTTTTTACCTCAACTGCTTTTCATTGTAGTTTCAACGTTGATGTATTTTTTGAAAATGAGTAGCATATTGATCAAAGTCCTTGGCTACACTAAGGAGAATGTGGGCTTGACAAAACAAGATCAGAAGGAATGGTTGAGCTGCTTGAATGTAGTAATTGACCTTAGTTCAAGACTTTATACTAGGATCGAGCTACCCTCTTTAATGTTATGGTGAGCTGTTGGCACATGAGTGCCTCATTAGCTCCATATATTATCATATTAGTATGATAAAGCTTGAGGAGATTGAATGTATTAAATGTACCATCATAAGTCTCCAAGGTCGGCATCTTGAATCCCTTTGGTGGTAATGCTCAGTCTATCTTTCGGTAAAAAGGGAAGTTTCCAAGAATTTCAACTCTTTATCAAGGGTGGATGCTTTATTCTTCAGCTTTTTCCCCATAGCCTCCATCTAAGCTTCTAAACCTTTATTAGGCTATGGTTTTAATGTGGTTTGTTTGGACTTTTGGGTGGTGGCCTATGTCGGGGTGTTTGTAGTGTAATGGGTCATCAGTGATTCATCCTCATCTGATGCTGATGAGGTCACGATGTCATCATAGGTTGGCAACTTTTGTGTAGGTGGGTTCTTAATAGTTGTTAAGTCAAGTGTTTTTGAAGTTTATGGTGGGGTTAGGTTTTGTATCATCTTGTTAAGGGATTGGAGCTCTTATGTGAGCATTTCGAACTATTCCATGGTAAGGACTACTATTGTAGGTTGGTGAGTAGATTTCGTTGGCTAAGTTAGGTATCATTCCCAACAATAGCAAGTGCTCCTTCCTCAATTACTCTCTTTCTTAATGGCATTTTAGCTTGGCTAAACGAGAATGCCCTTACTTGACGCGCTAAATGTTTGTGCCAATCTGTTTATGTGGGGTAAAACTTTAAGAACGCAAGAAAGAAAGACCGATTAATGATAAAGGCCAAGAGTTGTCTCTGCATTTGTGCTTTGATACTTGACTTAGAGTTTAGTCTAGGAAAAAGAATAATAAAGGCTTAAAACTTAATAGTGCTAGATAGATTAGAAATACTAATGCGGCTATTTATACTTGTGTGATGGGAGACCTTAGGCTTAGATAGCTCAAGATCTGCATAAAGAACTACGGCTAACCTCATAAGCCTAAGCTAAACTGATAGTTGATTGCCCAATTCAGGAGGCGACAAGTTAATACCTTAGGATACTAGCAGGTAAATTGTTGAGGTGATCAAACTAACGTGGACTTTGAGATTTTAGATGGGCTAGACATATCAACTCCACATAAATAACTAGAATGTCCATTTATTAGCTGATTTATACTCTAATAAAAATTATTTATTTGGCCCTTTGAACACTAAAATGCCGCTGACAACTTCAAATCCCATCAAATTTACTCTGGGAGAACGAAATCAACAAATTATTATTGTTACCGTAAACAGGATCTGAGCATCCGATTTGAATTTGCTTGTTGCATCGTCGAAGTAGAGCTCGCTCTCTCTGTTTATTTCCAGGGCAGAGTTCTGGGAATTTGGGGATGGGGTCAAGGATCCTGAAATCGTATCGGATTCTTTTCTTTTCTTTTTTTTTTTTTTTCTGATTCCATAGTATTATTTATTATATTCTAAAATTTGATCTCTTTTTTTTTAAATCTTCCGACCAAATTTGAAACTGGGGTACTCAGGATTATCTTTGTCCACCTTTTTTTTCCTCTTGATATACTTTTATTCGAATCTTTCCATCATAGCTTTTTTCTTTATTTTCCCCTCTTGAATTTATCTTTGCCATAGAATATAGCAAAGTGTGATGAAAATGGGCAGCGAGGCTAAAGGAATGGGAGCCTACAAGGGAGCTGAGAGTGGTCAAGGTACAATTAAGCTACAGCAGATCATAGCTCGAGCAGAGATTCAAAAGGCGACCTGCACACTGTGGAGCTGGGAAGGACAGAAATGGAAGAAGGAAATGCAGAAGTGCCGAATGGCGAGATTGTTGGGGAAAAAGACAAGCAAGACCGTTATGTATGCTGACCTGTCTATTTGTAATTAGTTGACTAATTAGCTGTCAGGAGCTACGAGAATATTGGATTCTTGTATTTCGTGTGAATTGGAAAAGCATAAATAAGCACGATGATGTAAATCATGTAATTAGAGAATTTTCATGAATGAAATATCCTCGTCTTCTCCTCTGTTATTCCCATTTCTCTTTCTGGTTTCGTTCTCTTTTCTCTTGTGTTACTTGCGTCCATTGAATCTATAACACAAAGTTTTATTATATATAGAGAGAGCGAGCCTTTGCTTATTTATCAGTATCAATGGCTGCAGCAAAGAATAGTGGTAAATCCAAGATGGTTGTTAATGACGAGACACAGAAGATGACAACAGGCCAAGATTGGGAGACTGTCAAAGGCAATGATCTTGATTTGGGGTTCGAGAGGCGGCAATGGAAGCCAGTTTTTGATGAAGCTTCCATGTCACAAACACCTCTCAAGAAGATCCGAAGCCCTGAACATCAAGGCCCTGCCGAGCCCTCTGCTTCGTTGGCTCATCAGTCCTCGTCGTTCTCTGCTCTATCCTCTGTTTCTACTAGTTCGCCTTCTTCTCTAACTCTTTGCCCACCTTCTTCTTCTTGTTCATCCAATGCTTCTTTACCATCTTCTAGATTGGTTTTTCCTTTTGCTTTTGATGCTTCCCATCAGCCAATTTACTTTCCTCAACAATACAGAAATACTCCGACTCTTATGCCAATCTTCTGCCCATCGTCACAAAATCAGCAATACACAATTTCCTTTAATCCTGAGCAGCAGCAGCAACATCGTTTTGTTTATCGTCCATTTTTTGCTGGAGAATCATCTTTACCACCTCATCAACAGCAGCAGCAGCAGCAGCAGCAACTTCTTCGTTGCTGTAGTGATGCATTGAATTTGAGTCCAAGGAGGATGATGATGATGAGCAGATTGGGGCAGGACGATAGACAATTGCTCAGGCCGCCAGTGCAGCCTATAAATACGACCAAGCTTTACAGAGGCGTGAGGCAAAGGCATTGGGGTAAATGGGTAGCCGAAATTCGTCTTCCTCGAAACAAGACTCGCCTTTGGCTTGGCACCTTTGACACAGCTGAAGATGCTGCCTTAGCCTATGATCGCGAGGCATTCAAGTTGAGAGGAGAGAATGCAAGGCTCAATTTCCCTGAGCTTTTCCTCGGTAAGGATAAAGATACGTCCACAGCTCCAAGTTCAATAGTTTCCTCTCCACGAACTCTTCATGAAAGTTCAAAACCAAACCAGAACCAGAATCTCCCAAAAAATGAACAGGAAGGCCTAAATTTGCAATCTGCAAAAATGGAAATGATGCCGCCACCAGCACAGCCTCAAGGAGATAATCCTGACAGTGATTCAGGGATGGGTTCCAGTGAGGCTACAGCCAGTGATGAGGTGCAGATGACAACAGAGGGTCCTGGAACAGGGGAAGGCGTTTCTGGTTCTCATGAATTGGTGTGGGGAGATATGACAGAATCTTGGTTCAATGCAATTCCAGCAGGTTGGGGTCCTGGTAGTCCTGTTTGGGATGATTTAGATACCACAAACAATCTTCTTTTCCCCTCAAATCTTACTTTAGCGAGTCAAAACCAACAGGAATTTAGTGATTCTGATCTCCAAAAACAACAAGATAGTTCTGCTTCTTCTTCTTCGGCTTCTTGTCCTATGAAACGCTTCTTTTGGAAAGATCAAGATTGATAGGTCATCCATAGAACCCAGATTTTTAGGGTATAGCCTTACAGGACAGATCTCTGTGCTTCTAACTTTCTTTTCCTTGTCATTATATGCGTTTTTAACTGTTTATATTTTATATACTTGCTGAGGACTTTTTTAGACCACCCCCCTTACTTTTTTTCACTGGTTTTAGATTTTTCAGGAAACCAACCTGTGACTTTCAGTCCGCCTTTTTTCCCCTAGGCTTAGAAGATTTTCAATTTCTTTTTCGTATCTTTTTTATTCCTCGTTGGTTGCGGATTTTTGTCCAGACCAACTTGTGGTTCCTTTAATATATTTCTTATCTTTTAGCTTCAAAATCTTTTCCCTCGGATTCTCTCTCCACTTCATCACACCTGCAAAAAGGTTGCATATTTTTCAGGCCTTTCAGCAGTGACAACTTATGTTTTCTTATGCCTTTCAGCCTTTTGTTCTTGCCATATGTTTTTTGGTCCTAGTAGTACCCAATAGGCAGTAGATCACTAGATAGTATCATTTGATGTTAATAAGTAAGCTTTTAGTCGTTTTTCTTGTTTGTTGATGTAATGTTGCATATGTAGTTAGAATCCAATTTGAGTGCAGGAGACACTTTGGTGATCTTTCAAATTTGGCCCATCCATCTCGAGTTTTATTTTTCTGCTAGGAGAATGGAATCAAATTTCTGATTCTGTACATTTTGGAGTTTGTTAAATTCATCTTTTACCTTTTTTTTTTTGTAACAGTAGATGTAATGATGAATTAAGTAAATTTGCAGCAATACCATTAGCCATAAATTATAGTAGTTTATTCTCTTATGCAGCTCTACTATTGTTGCTTGATAAAATAATGTTTTCATCGAGTAATTAACTTTGATCCAGAAAATGTTATTGCGTTGTGAAATGCCAAACCTGAAAGTAAATGCTTTAACCAATACCAAGTAAGATTTTGATTGCTTGGCCTACTTAAATATTCTGAACTTTTTAAGTGCTCATTTGAAAGTCACAGGACCTCCGGTCAGCTCTGATTTCTTTGCTTTTTGCTCCCAATCGCAACTTTGATATCGTTTTGATGATATGGTATCAGGTGGGTTTGAGCTCTTCAACTGCACTGAAGAGCTAGCTGTGGACTCTGGGTTTAAGGGTCCATTGGATCACCAATGTCCCAGATCTTTTTATCCGAAATAATTTTTCATTTTAATATTGCTTTTAAACGAATTTTTATTCACTAAAAAACCCAACTTTTGTTTTAATCTAAAACAATGATTCATTAATTTTGATTTAATATATTATTTTAACTTAAAATAATATTTCACTATTTATTAAATAAAATTTTAAGATTTTGGCAAAAAAAATTAAAGAATTTAAAGGTTAAATAACATTAAAATATACATAAAATAAATTTTAAATATTCAATAACAAAAAAATTATTTGATATAATAATTTTAATAATTTTTAATTATTTATTAATTCCACAAATATTAAATATATACTACAAATTCTATTATATACAAGTTTTATTAAATTGTTTTTAATAGTAATTTTTTTCATTACACTTTATCTTATTGTTATTGTTGCATTTATATCCAAAAACATCACTCTATTAGTTTTAATTTCATCATTATAATAATCAATATCACTATTATAGTAACTAATTTTATCTTCACTACTATTTTCAATTTCATTGATAATAATCTTACTTTTAAGCTTAAATCCACTGATTGTGAAAAATAAGAAAACTTCCGAGTTTAGGGAATTACATGCCATAATTTTAGAGTTTATTTAGATAGGTAGTGAGATTGATTTTGATAAAATTAAAAGTAATAATAGAAGTAAAATTAATTATTATAACGATAAAATTAAATATTGTAATAATGAGATTAAAATTAATGATGGAGATATATGTTTAGATGCAAATGTAATTATGACAGTAAGAGGTAAATTATAATAAAACAAATATCATTAAAAATATTAAATTAAAATTTATATATAATAATAATTTTAAATTATTTAATATTTAATATTTCCTTAGGACGTGGTTTGCAACAACGGTGGGGTTAGATAGCCAATATTTGTAAATTTTCCTTTTCCAATTTCTTTTAAGCCATTGATCTCCTATGTATAAAAAGTTATTTTTATATCAAATAATAATTTCATTAATAAATAATTAAAAAATTTTGATTTTGTAAAAAAAAAAAGTATTTGAAAACTTTATGTAAAAAATTTATAAGACAAAATGAAAAAAAATTATCAAGTGTGAAAAAATAAAATAAGGAAAAGGTTAAAATGAAAAAAAAAAGGGGGCGGTGGAGCTCCACAGAACCCTCTCTTACCGATGATAAAACACGATGGCAATGCCTAATCGTGCTGAAATGATGTTATCTAAACATACAAATAGTGCCATTACACTCTGAAAATCGTGCCTTACGTTGCTTCTTCTCAATCCAAATGAGGCCTTAGTCCAAGCAACCGGACATTAAAAACCGTTTGAGAAATGCTAAGAGCATAGCAGGAGTAGCCTAAATTTGATGATTATGAAAATTTACATTGAAATTTTATAATATAAATAAAACGAATATTCTGATCATTAATTTATTTTAAATTGAATACTTTTAAAAAATTTGGCATATTATAATTAGAGATAAAAATGAATCCGGTTAGATTTAAACATTTTTAATTTAAATCAATTTGAATTTGAATTTTTTTTTCAATTATTTTGAATTCAAACTATTTAAAATTTGAATCATTTAAATTTGAGTATTTTAAATTTAAAATTTTCAAATTCAAACTGGATGAATTAATTCTTATATTTCATGGAAAACATAACTATTTCAATATTCCTTTCAAGTTAGGATTTTTCGGACTTGAATTGTTTTTAGTTCCAGTCTTTTCAAATTTAGATACAAACTACACAATCAAAACTACACAACCGAAAGCATTAACCGGAATATTCAAATACTAAAAATAGTTTCTCCATATTTTAAACAAGAACTAGAAACTACACAACCGAAAGCATTAACAGGAATATTCCAAAATTAAAAATGTGACAACTTTCTATCTTAATGTCAAAAAAATGGGAATCAAACCGATTAAAGCATGGTTTAAGTTTATTAAATCTTAATCTTATTGTTAAAATTGCTGCAAAACCGAGAGAACCAAAGCAAAGCAACATACTTGCCCTTCCACGTTAATTATATAATCAAAGCATTTAAAGATGGGTAATATTGACTGGGGATGATGCTGAAAGGTGGGACCAATCACCGGCCCATGAGATCATCCATATATTTCTTATTCTCGACGGCACGATAATGATGAACCAAAGAAGTAAGAATCTAATATAATTAGAAATGACGAGTTAGAAATCAAGCAGTTAAATTAAATCATTTGGAAAATATCTTGGCTTTTTTGGGTGATCAGTGAAATTAGTTAACATTTTCTTTTAACTAAACCCAACTTTGATGTCATTATGCGGCTGCCGCGATCTTCTTTTAGTATATAACTAACTACTATTGAATTTAGTATTAGTTTTTTTTATCTTGGACGGGCATGGAACTGCCGATGATAAAAGGATGGACAAGTAAATGACAAACCTGGATTTAGTAAGAATGCAATAGCATGACTAATGAGTTTTTAGCTATAATAACAATTTCTAGTTTTTGAGTCAGCCACTTCTCGAATATCATTGGGAAGATATTTAGGCAGCACTTGGAGAAATGATAGAGAAATATTCGTCAAAACATGCTATATTTTACTAATTAACACTGTTATACCCTGATCATTTGATCAACATTTTAATTATTAAGTAAGCATTAATTATCACTATGATGACGATCACCTAAATTAATTCAATACTTGACCAATATCGAGAGATAAATCAATTGATTACGTCAATCTAAACTCATAAAAAATAAGATCAAGACACAAGTATCATACCATGAACCTTTCATTTACATTTCACTAACTCTTATTTTCTCACCTTCATTTTATTTTTTTAATCTTCTCTCACTTATTATGCTTTATCTATTTGAACTTCGAAGTACATCTCAAAATTTTACCTCCAACACCCTTTGATCATTTTTTATATTACAGGTCACTTCAGCTTCCAAGTCAGCCATCTAACCAACTTTCCAATAATCACACTATTATAATGTCCAAAGTTAAAAAACTCGACCATTAAACACAAAATTAGGTGTCATCAAAAAACTTATTTTTCTCTACGTATGATTGGTCATTTCAATAAATTTATCCTTGTTTAGGTTATCTTAAACTTAACTAGAGATCTCTACAAAAAAAAAAAGCTATGGTTTTTTAATTAGAATTAGATTCGAAAGTTGATTATGTGTAAGGAAAATTTAACCACCTCCCACAACCAAGGCTGTTAATATCATACCGAATAACGTTTTGATTTTATTTTTTTTAAATGATATATGCCAGTATAAGTTATTTTGACATATTATTTCAAGTTTTTCAATTTAGTACAAATATATTTATAAATATACCTGAACTTTTACATAATAATTATACCAATAGTATGTAAAATAATATGCAATATTCATTACAGGGGTTTAGGTCTTTAGTGACGCTTTTTTTAACATTTAACGGCATTTATAAATGTCACTAAAATATTAGTGGCATTTGCCAAAAACGCCACTAAGAGCATCGGCTATACTTATATCAGGGAAAATAGTGACGTTTTAGAAGAAACGTCGCTAATTTAGCGATGTTTCATGCTACAAACGTTACTCAATTTCGAATTTAGCGATGTTTTTAGATACAAGTGCTGCTCTAATTAAGAAATTTACTTTTTTTATAAAATTTATTTTTATATTTATTATTATCATTAAATAAAAATGTTAAAAGAAATAAAAACGAACTTTAATTCATAAACTGAATATTATAAATACATAATTTGTTCAAATATTCATGTAACACAAAGTTTAATAATACATGCAATAACATTCAAATTAATTTAGCACATTAACCAAAAAATTTAAAATGTATGAAATTAATGACTGTATAGATTTGGACTACTACCATTTAATGAAGGATTTTTTCTACCTTG